CACACACACACACACACAAACACACAGGCGTGCGCGAACGCGTGTACATCCATGTTCACATACTTCAGGAAGTGTGTGTGTCAAGGAAAGCGTTAAAACACCGTTTTCTATTATATTTTAAAGCCTAACACTTTTGACTGCAACCAGGCGGAAAGACCGGCCACATAAGTCCCCACCTTTGAGGGCAGCGGCTTCCTCCACGTGTCTGGGGTCAGCCCAGGACTTCTGGGTAGCCACAAGTATGACCATCTTGGCGGACTTGTCGTGGCCGTGGTTGTCAAACATAGAGCCAACCTGAGACGTGAAAGGAAAGGCTTGATTTTTAAAGTTTAATTTTTAGTAAGAGTGAGTACCATAATCGTCAACATCTGCTCCAGGCCAGACACCCGAAAATCTGAGAAATCAAGCAATCGGCATGCTCCGCGTGTTTTTGCTATTGCCAGGACAGCCAACGTTAGTTTTCTTTTACTGTTAAATTTTAATGTTTTGGCAAGAGTCGAACCCTGTTGAAGGCGCCGATTGCTCGATTTCTCTGATTTTGAGTTAAACCTACCATTTGTCTTGGGTGACAATTTAATATTATTGTAGTTTTTGATGAACGAAGCCCTAAACTTCATTAAAACACAAATATAAGTAATAGAAAATATACATCTCATGGTCGGGGAAAAGAGCCAATTTCGTTTGTTTTTTTACGTTAGTACTGTGAGCATTGACAAATCAGACTGTTATTTTAAATGACATGGCTTACATTTTAGACTACTTAGCATTACTAATGTGAAAAGAAAGGTGTAAGAACTAAAAAATCTAGATTATTTACGCAATCAAAAAGTGGAACCTTTCTTTTAATCGCCCGTATACACATGATTATGTTTTTCCGTGTTGTGAGCATACAACATGAGTTTCATGTTTCCTGAAGTATCTTTATTTATCTGCTGGGATGCTTTAACCCACTCTGTCTTAAGTTGTTTTTTTTTATTAGGGCCATATGAGCGCCAAGGGGTGGGTGTCAACAGAGAAGCCTTTGCAAGGAATCAGACTTAGACTGCTCACCTCTCTAGCTTCAACAGAAGAAGGTCTGCTTCGACTATAAAGGCACCCCAAAATAGCAGGTCACAAGAGAGTGACAAACATACAAAAGAAGTAGAGGAAAATAACAATAGTAAGGATCAGGTAAGAAAAAGCAGCAGTTCCCTGTTGTAGATCAGGCACAGTTATGATCGTGACATGAGTTAGCCCATTTACAATTCTACTATGCTTGAACGAGAAATGTCCCCCCTTTGGGAATGGCCTAAAGACACTTCAGTCAGTGGCACTGCCCCGGGGGTGTCTTAAGTTTGATCAGCGTACCTTTTGAATAAAAACCATGTCCGTGGTGGTGAAAAGCATTTACAATAAAGCCTAACCCTGCCACTTGCACAGCACACCAACCAACCAATGTACTACATCAACGTCATCAACAGCGGCAACTTTAAAATGGGTTTTCAACCATGACATTATCTAACAATCTTATGTCCTATATAAAACTGACATTTGGCACCCATAAAAATAGGACTTGGGACCGAAACAAACAAACAAACAAACAAAAAGAAACAATCAATATTTTAAAAGTTTCTTCAGAAATCCTGGATCATACACGTAGGTTCATCAGCCTTGAACCAAGTTTGTGATCGGCACTTACGCCTACACCTCCCACCACCCTTTTCCCAACTGACATACAGGTGGCACCCTAGAGTTATTTCCTTTTAAAACTAGAGCTGGTTCGAGGTCACGTGACACGGAAACTTTTGAGTTGGTCGGCGGCCATTTTCGTTTTGGCAAAGAAGTTTGTTTACATGTGAGTGGGCGTGTCTCTGCTCTGGAAAGTGTTTTATTAGATTATAACGTTGTATTTTAATCCAAAGAGATTCTTTTAAAAGTGCAAGCATTTGAAACCTCTAGATCTAGCCCCTTTCTGGATTAACGTCTTACAGCCTTTAAGACTTTCTCCGGGTAAATTCTTACCAGCAAACGTCTGATTAGCCAGGAAGTGAAAACTGAAGAAAACGAGACCAGAAAGGATGGAGCAGCACAGATGTGTCTATCAGTGCACTAAGAAAGCCTCAAATGGGAACCCCTCTTTCTTTTCACTGGTAAGAATAAGATTGATAAGAATTTAGACAGATTAAATCCAGATCAATGTTTTGAAGAAAATGCCTAGAAGTGTAAATCTATGGGTGGCACACACCGTCTTGAGACAGGAGCCGGCCGATGACCTGATGTCCGTGACCTCAAACACAGGATAGGGCGTGTTCTCTGCCCGATACCCCGCCCCGTCCGGCAGATGGATGGAGTCGTGTGTACCTATAGGCTCCACCCCGCTAGCGTGTTGCAGGTTTTCTGTCGTCATCAGCAGGTGGGACAACTCAGAGTCGGGACCTGAGGGGTGGATTGTATTTATTTATTTATTTATTTATTTATTTATTTATTTATTTATTTATTTATTTATGTATTTAATTAATTATATTTATTTTCCTCTTCCTTCCTTCCTTCCTTCCTTCCTTCCTTCCTTCCTTCCTTCCTTCCTTCCTTCCTTCCTTCCTTCCTTGCTTTCTTCCTTCCTTCCTCCCTTTCTTCCTTCCTTCCTTGCTTTCTTCCTTCCTTCCTTTCTTCCTTCCTTCCTGCTTTCATTATTATTATTATTATTATTATTATTATTATTATTATTATTATTATTATTATTATTATTATTATCATTATTATTATTATTATTATTATTATTACTATTATTATTATTATTATTATTATTATTATTATTATTATTATTATTACTATCATTATTTAGATCTTATTTTATCATTCTTTTAAAACTAGCAGTATAATTATAGGTAGATTTTTCGTTGTTGTTGTTGCTGTTTTTTTGGGGGGAGGTGGAGGTGTGTGTGAATGGAATGCAACTGGAGAAAATGGACTTATACGTATGTCTACACTGGAGCTTGACAAAATGTGAATGTTGATAACCATTCTTAGATCACGTCAAGAGTTTGTGTGTGTGTGTGTGTGTGTGTGTGTGTGTGTATGTGTGTGAGGGTGTGTGTGAGTGTGTGCGTCTGTGTGTGTGCGTCTGTGTGCGTGTGTGTGTGTGTGTGTGTGTGTGTGTGAGTGTGTGTGTGTATGTGCTTGTGCGTGCATGTGTGTGAGCATGCAAGTGTGTGTGTGTGTGTGTGTGTGTGTGTGTATGTGTGTGTTTGTGTCTGTATGTCTGTGTGTGAGAGAGAGACATCGTGGAGAAATAAGGCCCTCGTCAAAAAAAATGTAATCAAAGAAAATGACATTTTTCCACCGTTAAGCAATTTTTATCAGATTTTTTTTACTTAACGCCTTTTAAATTTACTTTTAAAAACATATTTTTGTGGGCTTTATTTTTTAAAACTTTGATCAAAGGCACAAAAATGTAAATTTTGAGTTTCAATTAATTAGGACAGTCAAGCTCAGAAAGTCACCACACTTTGGTGATCATATTTTTCTTGCTAATTTTACCCCAGACAACAGGCGACTCCCAAATCATTTAATCACAGTTATCTTGACTTCTGTTCAAGGGCTAAAATCGTTTTTTTCATTGAAAGCAAAATAAATGAATACGCTTTTTAGATGATATCAGTAACTCCATATGAGCACATGAATCCAAATTATCATGCCCCCCCCCCCACACACACAGATAGAGATATATACATACATACAGACTTCAACAAAAGTTAAAGACCACCTTGACAGACAGTCCTGAATTTTTTTTTTAATCCAAAAAAAAAGATAGCAAGGAATGTTTCTAAATTTTTAGTCTGAAAGTGTTAATGGGTTACCAATGCTCACTGCAAAGCCCCCGAAAGGACCAAAACCACCACCTGCAGCACGGAAATCCCCTCGGGGAATTGTAGCCAAATTTGCTGTTCTTTATCGACTTGTGTGCGATAGCACGGACATTCCTCAGTTTAAATTTCTGGTGCATGTTATTAAAGGACGTACGGTCTCGAACTGTGCTCAATTTGGTGGCAATATAAGCCACCGTTTGCGTAAAATCCAGTTTCACATCAACATGTCACTAAGACGAAAGCAGAGAGACTTTGATCATGCCAGAGCTATGGCATGGCTGCAGGATGGAGTTGGAGCCCGAGAAGTTGCCAGGAGGCTTGCAATGTCACACCCTGTCACTGTCCGCCTGAGGCCAGTGGATCAGTCCAAGAACGCCAACGTGCAGGTCGACCAAAGAAGACCATTCAGTGTGTTTGCAAGTGGTCCTTTACTTTTGTTGAAGTCTGTATATATATATATATATATATATAATGTATATATAACATTATATAATATACATGTGTATATATTTATAAATGGCATAATATATAATATATGCACACAAACACAAACACACAAACACACAAACACACACGCACACACAAATCAAGTCACTGTGAACGTCGAACCCATAAGCTGTCGAATTATCCTACATCTTACCTGTATGTTCCACTTGGTTTTTCATGCAGTAAGCAACGCCGAAGCGAAGTTTCGTTTCCGGGGTGAGCAAGGACTTGTAGTGAACAATGACGTCACGAGCCATCGTGATGCACGTCTTGTTGTCGAAAACAAAGATCAGGTCGAGGGGCTGGTTACAAGACTTGTCTGGAAAATGGTAAACTAATAATAATAATAATACATTGAAAAATAACAATAATATTAATTATAAAAATAACAATAATAATAATAAAAATAATAATAATAATAATAATAATAATAATAATAATAATATTAATAATAATAATAATAATAATAATAATAATAATAATAATAATAATAATGAAGTGATTTTATCTTGCGACATGTACGCGGAACCCGTGAGGTCATAAGAGAATCGAAAATCCTGAAAGTAAACTAGAGAGCAGGAAAGGAGGTGAAAGGAGACAATTTTAGAGAAAAAAATGTTTCGGTCGCAACCCGGATTCGACTTATGATGAATATAAGAAAGCGACAGGCAAATTTCTTTGGACACACAATGCGGAAAGAAGCATCGGAGAATATTGTATCAACAGGCAAGTTTGATGGAAAGAGAGGCAGAGGCAGACAGAGGGAAAAGATACTGGACAACTGACAACATAGCTTGGAGCAGCAAGAACAACAGACACGATTGCTGCAACGCAAGACACTTAGACAGAGTGAAGTGGAGGTCCATGATCCTCCACGCCAGTCGGCAAGGCACCGGATGATGATGATGACCCGGATTCGAACCCTGGACCTTTGAATGAGAGGCCAAACCTTAACCTCTAGGCCACGAGAGCCCCCTCTGATGACTCTGAATCTGTGGTGATTGACGTAAAACACATA